AGTTGAAGGCTGATCCGGACTCTGGGCTCGGCAAAGAGTCCAAACAACAGAATATACAAGAGGGAATCATTAATTATGGCGAAAAAAAAAAAAATATAAGCCGATAATAAAAATACATATTTGAATATTTATCTCCATTATAATTTTTTGAATATTTTGATTTTTTCCATGTTTATTTTGAAGGTCATAAAAGGAAATTTCTGATTTTTTTGTTAAAAAAAGATGAAAGATTTAATTAGTTACGAAAATTAATATTTATTAAGAAACATTTACTCTGGACAGATTATAAATAAAATTTTCAGGTTAAAATATTAATGATAGTGATATGTTTGGAAAATTCCCAAAAATAGAATATATATATATAAGGTTCTTTTTTTAAAAATTACATTGAATTTTTTGTTTTAAATTTTAATATTTACCTACCCGTCAACATAAGAAGACGACAAAGAAGGAATTAAAATAATTTTTTAGGGTCATTGTAGAAATTAAAGGGAAAATTTTTAGAGGCAGACTCTGATGGAGACAGAAGCCGACAAATCTGCAGAAAAAATGAAAGGACGATTTCTCAGTCGCGCCATTTATATGAAGAACAGACGGCAAACCACTCTAAATACGTTTTTCATAAAAAATTCAGTTTAATGAACATTAATCCATAGCATTTTTTTGTATCTTCTTATATGTACCTATATTTCAATTAAAAAGTGCGCAAATTAAAAATTAATTTAAATGAGACTAAGATTTGAGGTATAAATTACATCATTTCCTATAAGTTGTTAGATTCGATTGATGCGTTTTCGATTAGTTCGTTTCTTTTAATGTATACAATAGCCGAAACTAATCGAGAGATTGAAGTAATCCTCTCGGGATGGTTGACATGAATCTGATAAGAAACATGTATTGGCATTTGTTAGCAAAATGGTACAACCCAAAATGCAAATTAACGGATTGGAGATGCCGAAATCAAACAGGTACAACAATTTAGATATCTGGGAAGAAGAGTATTAACAAAGAGCGAAATGTGCGACACTGAAATCCGAAGACACATTGGGTTTGAAAATTTTAGGTGGTGGAAAAAAAAAAGACTCTGACTGTGTTACTGGCCCTAAGAACCTGCTGATATTTTTATGGGATGAGATTGGGCAGTTCAAATGTCAACCGACCCCTTTGAAGGGGAAGGGAGAACTGGTACTGGACAGACGAAGGCAAATGTAAGCTATACCTACTAGGAATAAGAGGTTTGTTTCACTCTCCCTGCTGAAATGGCAGGCAGCAATTCTCAAACGAAAGGGATGCGTGGGTAACAAAGTTGGGCACCTCGGCGTGGTGTAATGGTTAGAAAGCTTGTCTTGCTAGACCAATTACGACTGAGTAGTGAGTTCGATCCTCACTGGGTGCCCCATACTTCCGGCCTTGTGCCACATCTAAGCCGTTCCTTTATTGTCCTTTCCTCAATACTCATCACTAAAGTCTTTTCATTATCTTTTTGCTTACAGTAATCTCCTTTGTCCTAGTGACATTAGAGAGAGTTAGATTAGAATAAAAATGGAGTAATGGTGCCATATTTGGTTTGGAGCTACTCAATCTTCACTTTCGATTCAAAATCGTTTACACTGTATTTTGGGAAATGACTTTTTTTCACTCTACAGCCTCTTTTCCCACAAACGAAATGCTGAAAGACTGTTGCTACTATGCCGCTATGCCCATATCAAATGTTCAGATAAGCTCTATTCTTTAGTTCCATCAGTTCAGACATTTACATCTCGGGCGCGTCGTGTTACTTCCACACGGTCGAACCGCTCTTATTTCGACTCGGAAAGCTTTTTTTTTTTTTTTTTTTTCTTTTTTTGGTCAAGAAATGCCTGGACACGGATCTTCACCACTTCAAGTCAAAGACTGATTTTTTTTTCTTCTTACACTTATAATTTTCAATTCCTACCACCACCCCTTTCGTATATATATCATACGTCTCATTCATCATTACCATTTTAACTCTAACTCTCTACCTTGAGCGACTTTTGAGCCTAGTATTGGCTGATAATTGCTAAAATTATCTTTACCTCCGTACCAGAATAAGTGACCAGATTTACATTATATTAAAACTGGAATTGGCCACTTATTGTGGAACGGAGTTAGCGCCCTTCTGGATGACAAATAATTTTCCACCTTATGCTACTCTATTGCTATTTCCATAGAAAGTGCTCAGACGAACGACATGCCTTAGACCCGTCATACTCCGCACATTGTAGCGAATCACCCTCGTTACCTTTGTATTCCATTGGTGAGATGCCAGTTCCACACGAGTAGCTTATTTCTTCGAACCGACTGTGGAACCAAACTCTCAAGTCGGTGTTTTCACTGCAATCTTAACCTGTTCAAGTCTAGCATTAATCGTCATCTTCTCCACATATCCTCCTAAACTGTGCGCTTACTTTGTAACCCTTCGCCTTCAGTGGCTCCTGGGCGTTGTACTGGTTTGAGCATCACTGTAAAAAAAAGAAAAAGAAAAAAAAACATCTTGACAATGACATATATGGTGAGTCCCCTTGCTTATCTTGAGGGTGTTTGTTAGGTAATGTTCTCTAACAAACCGCTGAGGCCTTCAAAGAACAGGTGTATTTAATTGGAGAGGGCAGAATCAAAGAACAGCTGTATTTAATTGGAGAGGGCAGAATCAAAGAACAGGTGTATTTAATTGGAGAGGGCAAAATCAAAAGAACAGCTGCATTTAAAGGGAGAGGCAAATTCAAAAGAACAGGTGTATTTAATCGGAGAGGGCAAAATCAAAGAACAGGTGTATTTAATTGGAGAGGGCAGAATCAAAGAACAGGTGTATTTAATTGGAGAGGGCAGAATCAAAGAACAGGTGTATTTAATTGGAGAGGGCAGAATCAAAGAACAGGTGTATTTAATTGGAGAGGGCAAAATCAAAGAACAGCTGCATTTAATCGGAGAGGGCAAAATCAAAGAACAGGTGTATTTAATTGGAGAGGGCAGAATCAAAGAACAGCTGTATTTAATTGGAGAGGGCAAAATCAAAGAACAGGTGTATTTAATTGGAGAGGGCAAAATCAAAGAACAGATGTATTTAATCGGAGAGGGCAAAATCAAAGAACAGGTGTATTTAATTGGAGAGGGCAGAATCAAAGAACAGATGTATTTAATTGGAGAGGGCAGAATCAAAGAACAGCTGTATTTAATCGGAGAGGGCAAAATAAAAAAACAGGTGTATTTAATTGGAGAGGGCAGAATCAAAGAACAGGTGTATTTAATTGGAGAGGGCAGAATCAAAGAACAGGTGTATTTAATTGGAGAGGGCAGAATCAAAGAACAGATGTATTTAATTGGAGAGGGCAAAATCAAAGAACAGCTGCATTTAATCGGAGAGGGCAAAATCAAAGAACAGGTGTATTTAATCGGAGAGGGCAAAATCAAAGAACAGGTGTATTTAATTGGAGAGGGCAGAATCAAAGAACAGGTGTATTTAATTGGAGAGGGCAGAATCAAAGAACAGATGTATTTAATTGGAGAGGGCAGAATCAAAGAACAGCTGTATTTAATCGGAGAGGGCAAAATAAAAAAACAGGTGTATTTAATTGGAGAGGGCAAAATCAAAGAACAGGTGTATTTAATTGGAAAGGGCAAAATCAAAGAACAGGTGTATTTAATTGGAGAGGGCAGAATCAAAGAACAGGTGTATTTAATTGGAGAGGGCAGAATCAAAGAACAGATGTATTTAATTGGAGAGGGCAAAATCAAAGAACAGGTGTATTTAATTGGAGAGGGCAGAATCAAAGAACAGATGTATTTAATTGGAGAGGGCAAAATCAAAGAACAGGTGTATTTAATTGGAGAGGGCAAAATCAAAGAACAGGTGTATTTAATTGGAGAGGGCAAAATCAAAGAACAGATGTATTTAATCGGAGAGGGCAAAATAAAAAAACAGGTGTATTTAATTGGAGAGGGCAAAATCAAAGAACAGGTGTATTTAATTGAGAGGGCAGAATCAAAGAACAGATGTATTTAATTGGAGAGGGCAAAATCAAAGAACAGGTGTATTTAATTGGAGGGCAGAATCAAAGAACAGATGTATTTAATTGGAGGGCAGAATCAAAGAACAAGAACAGGTGTATTTAATCGGAGAGGGCAAAATAAAAAAAAAAAGGTGTATTTAATTGGAGAGGGCAGAATCAAAGAACAGATGTATTTAATTGGAGAGGCAGAATCAAAGAACAGGTGTATTTAATCGGAGAGGGCAAAATCAAAGAACAGGTGTATTTAATTGGAGAGGGCAAAATAAAAAAACAGGTGTATTTAATTGGAGAGGGCAGAATCAAAGAACAGGTGTATTTAATCGGAGAGGGCAAAATCAAAGAACAGGTGTATTTAATTGGAGAGGGCAAAATAAAAAAACAGGTGTATTTAATTGGAGAGGGCAAAATCAAAGAACAGGTGTATTTAATTGGAGAGGGCAGAATCAAAGAACAGATGTATTTAATTGGAGAGGGCAGAATCAAAGAACAGGTGTATTTAATCGGAGAGGGCAAAATAAAAAAAAAGGTGTATTTAATTGGAGAGGGCAGAATCAAAGAACAGATGTATTTAATTGGAGAGGGCAGAATCAAAGAACAGGTGTATTTAATCGGAGAGGGCAAAATCAAAGAACAGGTGTATTTAATTGGAGAGGGCAAAATAAAAAAACAGGTGTATTTAATTGGAGAGGGCAGAATCAAAGAACAGATGTATTTAATTGGAGAGGGCAGAATCAAAGAACAGGTGTATTTAATCGGAGAGGGCAAAATCAAAGAACAGGTGTATTTAATTGGAGAGGGCAAAATCAAAGAACAGCTGTATTTAATCGGAGAGGGCAAAATAAAAAAACAGGTGTATTTAATTGGAGAGGGCAGAATTAAAGAACAGGTGTATTTAATTGGAGAGGGCAGAATCAAAGAACAGCTGTATTTAATTATATTTAATTTCCTTTTCTTATTGTCTTCTTTAAGAGCAATTGCTTGACAGCTGACTTCACTCTTTCCCTATCTTTAAGAGTCACTTTCTTCGCCTCGTATGGGAGTCCCTGTATCTGTCTGTCTGTCTGTCTGTCTGTTTCTCTCTCTCTCCTTCTCTGCGCTTAACGTCTGGTTTACTGCTATGCCTCTGATGTAGGGACGTTAACAGTTGATATCACATCCCTTGCACACTGTTCCTTTGCAACATATTACGTGGCCGACTTTGTCACAAGTCCAGCACCCAGTCAGTGTTCCTCTTCAAGACATTCATTTGGGCTACTCCCCCTCTTATTTCTTGGGGTGGTCCGTATTAGTTTAAATATTTCAATCGTCACACTCCTCATTTTGAACAGGAGTAGATGTTTACCTCTTTTTTCCTTTTCTTCGATTGGGTTTCCAGTTCCTTTTAAAGACTGCTTCAGCTATCTATTCCTCGCGCTTGTTGTTTCCTACGCTGATATAAGTCAACACAGTAACCCTCTAGCTCAAGTGACTCTTGGGCCTTGTATTGGACGAACATTTGTAAAAACAATAAAAACGGTGTAGATAATTTCGGCTAGTTCACACTCCTCCCCTTTTGCAGAGGAGTAGTGGTTTATCTCTTGTTTCCTGTTCAGGATTGGGTTTCCGGTTCCGCCTAAAGCAGTGGTCGTCAAACTTTCTCGACCAGAAACCTCCTTTTGTTTCTCTTTCTTCCCCAGCGACCCTCCCCCCATTTAAAATATCGTTGAACCTTAAAAATCGCACTGATGTTGGTAATGAAAAGTCAAGAAATTTGGTTCAGGTTAGATTTTTTTCCCCAGCGTCGTCACGTTCAGAATTTTCCCTTAAAAATATATTTATGAAAATATATAAAATAACCGCAAAGAATCAAGCAAATGAAAAATGCACAGAACTGCACTAATTAAATTGAATAAAGAAATATTGCACCATTCTTGATGTACTCCAACCAATCAGGCCAAGTGATTTTCATAGTTATAAACTCTATTTTGCAGTAAGAGGTTGAAAAAAGGAATTATTATCTGAAAATCAACTTGGAACAATTAAAACAGAGCAAGCAAGGCTCAATGTCGTATTAAATAAGTCTCATCAAAATAAGTTCAAGGCGGTTGAATCTAGTCATTTCAAGAGTCGTCAAGCTTTTTCGACCAGACACACTTCCTTCCCCAGTGACCACAATTTAAACTGTCTTTGAAGCTTAAAACTAGCCCCGGTGTTGGCAATTCAAATGTTAACTTAAATATATGAAAAAGTTAAAAAATTGGGATCAGGTTTAAAATCCCCACCAGCGTCATCAAGTTCAGAATCGCCCACAAAAAAAAAAAAAAAAAAAGTTAAAAGATAGCAAGCATTGTTCAATGCAGCATTAAATAAGTCTCATCAAAATAAGTTCAAAGCTCTTTGGATAAATGTAATTAAGGCTTTTGATTCTGTCTATCGTTGAATTCATTGCCTTTCTTTCATCTGCATCGAAGAGTACAACATACATGTACAGTAACTAAAATTTAGCTTAGAGTCATGAGTACACCGGCCTCCCCCATTCGAGCCCCTCACTATCATCGACCCTTGGAATTCCTAACCGACCGATAAGAGGTCACTCCGACACATTTTCACGCCTCCTGAGCTAATTCAACGGTAAACCTAGGTTTCACCATATTACTGTCGAACTTGCTACATTCAAACGTCACTTCTTTTCTAACAATTTAAAAAGAGAATGTGTAGGTGTGTGTGTGCGTTAGAGAAAGAGAGAGAGAGAGAGAGAGAGAGAGAGAGAGAGAGGAAAATAGAACGATTGAGAGAAATAGAGGAGGTGGGAGAATTATAGTGGGAGAGAAAGGAAAATAGAACGTGTGCGTGAAAGAGAGAGGGGCTTAGAGAGAACGGTAATGGGAGAGTACAGAAAAGAGAACGAAAGAGAGAGGGAGAGAATTCATTTTGTGTAAGTGTTGATCTTGTAGAAGTATCTATTGTCTTTTCTTTTCTTTCTTTTTCACAATTTTCTTCTGCAACAAAATTGGTTCCGTCCGATTGATCGGAACACACCACCATCACAGAATAGAACCAACTGACAAAAGAACAAAACGTTCAACAGATAGGAATAAATAAATTGCTGAAGAAACGGTAACTGTTAGAATAGAAATGGCGATTGCTATCTAAGTTGTTAGTTCAAGAGTCGTCAAACTTTTTTGACCAGAGACACACTTGTTTCTCTTCCTTCCCCAGTGACCACAATTTAAAATGTCTTTGAAGCTTAAAACTAGCCCCGGTGTTGGCAATTCAAATGTTAACTAAAATGTATGAAATATATGAAAAGTTAAAAAAAATTGGGATTAGGTTTTCCCCATCCCGCCCGCGTCATTAGGCTCAGAATTCCCTGCTCCTTCAAAATAAATAAATAAACAATTAAAAAAGATCAAGCAATGCTAAATGCAGCATTAAATAAGTCTCATCAAAATAAGTTCAAAGCTAATTGGCTAGATGCAACTAAGGCTTTTAATTCTGTCGATCGTCGAGCTAATTGCATTTCTTTCATCTGCACTAAAGAACACAACATACATATAGAGTAACTAAAATGAACCCAGTGTCATTCGCCGGCCTCTTGACTATAATCGACTCTCATTTCATTCATTGACTGATTCGTTGTTTACGGTTTATCAACCCATTGCAGGTCATATAAATCCAAAATATACGTTCAGATTTTAATATTTTTAATGAGTTAATAATAGTTTATGATACAAATTTTACTAATTAGTCCAAAAACTGGGCCGAGAAGAGGTAAATTAATACCTTTCCCATGAGTATTTTGCGCCTACATGAATATAACGAACCCAACGGAGATTGAAATTCGGCTCCCCAATTAACAATACTGACCCATTATCCACTACACCACCCAAACATCCAAGCTTACAGCACTTGTATTCCCAAGCGGTCACTAAGCACTGACCAGGCTTGGGGTTGCGTAACTCCAGTGATCGTACGGGAACCGGTGTTTCAACGTGATATGGCCGTAAACAAGGTAAGCATAAGACCGAACCTTTATTTGGTAACTAAATAAAAACAGTTGCATTGGAAAGTTGGCTCCCTGAGCCGCGCTAGGAAGTTTTTCTCCCCGGAGTCGATCCTCCAGATATACAAATCCACAATTCGCCCTTGCATGGAGTATTGCTGCCATATATGGTCTGGTGCCCCTTCTGTTTGCCTCGGGGTTCTTGATAGGCTCCAGAAGCGGATATGCAATGTGGTTGGCCCTGCCCTGGCGTCTCGTCTACAGTCATTTTCTCACAGACGCGCCGTCGCCTCCCTCTGTCTGTTCTACAAATACTTTCATGGAAATTGCTCCGAGGAGCTGCATTCGCTGGTTCCCAGACGTCATGAGTTCCAGCGCCTTACGAGGCTGGCATTCCGCTCTCACCCCTTCACTGTCGAAACTCCTAAATGTAGCCGTCTCTTCTACTCTAATAGCTTCATGTCTCGCACCTCTCGCCTGTGGAACTCTCTTCCCTATTCCAGTTTCCCTGAGAGCTATAATCTCCAGCTATTCAAATGTAATGTCAATCGACATCTCCAGTTGCCTTGATCTATCCACTACCCTCATCCTTTCTTCTATCACTCCTATCTGATCTTGCTCTAAACTTTCTGTAACCCCTTGCGTCCTAGTGGTTTCCCGCCTTGCTTGGGGTGAAATGCTTAAAAAAAAAAAAAAGAAAATCTCTTCTAGGTTGTTTTCGCTCGTCCGCTAAATACAGCCGATAATGAAACTTCAGATTAGCATTTATTCTGGTCTTTACAGGATTTTCTTACAGAGAAAAAATATATTTCCTGAAAGATGGTAAAAGGTAGTAATTTGCTGAAACAAACATTTCTGGGGCGATTGAATTATGAAGATGCCTGAAGATAGTGGAACAAAAGTATCAATATGCTGTTCAATAAAATTAATGTCGAAAATCATTTCATGAAAGTATTTATTTTTATATAAGAAACTGAACGGAAGTTTTCGCCAACGCATTATGTTGTTCAATGAAGTTAATATCGAAAATTTTAAAATATTTTTTACTTAATAAACCACAGGAACTATTTCGACAGTTCAATATATTGTTCAATAATATCGAAAATTTTAAAATATATATGGTTTTTGGGAAAATTCATGACAAAGTGGAAAAACTTTACTTGAGAGGCGTTTCGTCCTTCAGGACTTCATCGGACTAAATTTGTTATGTTGGTATGATTACACGCGCGCACGAACAAGAATTGCTGTGGGTTTTAGAAATTTTTAGAATTTAAAAAAAAATATTTTTTAATATCTTGCCGAATTCATTTACAGGTTTTTTTCTTTTTTGTTTGTAGATATCCCACACTGTGATAATAGAAGTTCTGTTAGGAATGGCGAAATGTTGGAAGAGCCAGAACACAAACTTGTTGTAGATGACCTTGCGATCAAGGAACTAATATTTTTTTTTGTTTTTTTAGTATTGCCTTAGTCTTTGATTGTTTTAGATGTAGTAGTAACACATTTTGTTTCGTTTAGATTCTTTTCGATTGTGAATTTTTTTCCCTAATCCAGCTTACGACGTTTCGTCTGTGAGAGATAATGGAAAATAATGTCACACACAAGGAGGCGAATACCATCCAGACTGAAAAGTGAGGACTGCTCAAATTTGACAGCATAAATCCATTTTCGGCTTTATCTGGCTCTTGTGAAGTTAGGGGATAGCCAGAGGAATCGGGTACTTACTGCCGCGGTACAGGGAACTGACAATTTTTCCAGCATTTTTAGCGATGGATCGTATGTAGAAGTTCCATTTGCGGTCTGGGTCGAGTTTAAGGCTTAATAGTCGCTTTCATTATTCAAAAATAGATTTATACATAATGAAAATTCAGACAGTGGAAATGTATTCTCATTTAAACATAAAAAAATGATACGAATTTAATATCTTCCAATTTTACGTCACACAGTCACGTTCTTTCTAAAGCTTTCTCCATAGCAAGCTGAAACTCTCGAATTTCTTCAGTTCAGATGTCATCCTTGTGTTTCTAAATTGACCATGGATTATTCATGAATACATATTCCTTACGGTATTCCTAAAGAAGATAATCGGTTGGATAATAATAATAATCAGGATAACTTAGTGGTTATAAAAATTTATCCGGAAAAAAACGTCTTATTAAATCCGAATTAAAATTCCAAGACTTGATTCTTTGTTTTTTTTTTTTTTTTTTAGGGATAACTCTGAAAAAAAATCTAAAAAAATGACATGTTATGAGATTTTTATATACCTATGTGACCTTTGGGACACTCTGTATATAGACAGTAAAAAAAAGTATGACGCTTAGATAAAATTAAATTGATTTCTCGCCAGAATCTGTCTTACATATTTATATTCGTTAATACCTTGAATATTGCTGCCACATTTGATCTGGTACTCCTGCTATATATTTACAGATTCTTGATAAAATCCAAAGAAGAATCTGCAATGTTATTGGTCCTGATCTTCAGCCTCTTTCCCGTAATGTAGCTTCCCTGTGCCTTTTCTATAAATACGTTCATAGTAATTGTTCTGATTAACTTTCCTCTATTGTGCCTAGACTGTACGAATTTAAGCGCAGACCAAGATTGGCAGCAAGGTCTCACCATTTCACAGTTGAAATGGCTAGATGAAATCGTAAATTCTATACTAACAGTTTCTTCTCTCGCACTTCTCGCTTGTGGAACTCGCTTCCATCTTCTTGCTTCCCAGTCAAATTTGATCTTCAAAGATTTAAATCCAAGATCAGTCGTCATCTCCTGTCTTCTCAATTCACATTCATTTATTATTCTATCAATTTAATTTTTTTCTCATGTTCTCTCACACACAGTAATCCATTACGTCTTAGTGGCTTTATTACCTTTCTTGAGGTGAAGTGATTTAAAAAAGACTACGTATGACATGGTGTAGAGGCTTTTCAAAGGACTTAATAAAAATGACAAAATAATATGGAAGAAATTCGAAATCCATTCCTTTGAATTTTGTATGTAGAAACAACAACATTTTCTTTGGGTACGGATCCAAAATAACATCAACATTAAAACTGTTCACGTCATACTAATATCAATAAGGATTTTGACAACCAAACAAAGTAAAAAAAAACTGACTATAAATACGTTTCAATATGAAAGCATCGACGGCAGTACCGCTTTTCCTTTCCCGCCGAAACGACCAGGCACACAGCCTTCTTTATTTACTTTTGAAAAGACTTCTTTTTGTTTTCTGCCAGCCATTTGCCGCATTCATTTTAACAAAAGAACAGAAATGAAAGGTTTAATAAATAATCGATTGTTAAGCTAACTCGACCTGCATTTTTATGAATTTAGAATTATTTTGCATGTATAAACTTTTACTTACCAATAGACTTGGAATATATATATATATATATATATATATATATATATATATATATATATATATATATATATATATATATTAAAAATTAACTGAAAGATACTCATACGTAGAAAACGACGGGAGAGTTTATCATATATATATATATATATATATATATATATATATATATATATATAGAAACGTAGAAAACGACGGAAGAGTCTATCATTTCAGTTATCTGTTTGGATTGTTATTGCTTTTATGTCCATAGTCTTTTTCATGTTGAATTGTATATGGTCTATGTTAATTACGTTTTATGAATATGTCCTGAAGATGGTCTATTAGACCGAAACGTCCGACGTTGACATTAAACATTAAAACAGCATAATCGCATATTAGGATTTTTGTTTGTTTTTTCAGTATATTTTTCTTCATATATATATATATATATATATATATATATATATTAAGACAGGCTTCGTTAAATAATTTAAACATGTTCTGTCGACTTATTCCCGATAAGATCCTTTCATATTCACGGATAAGCTTTTTTGTGCGGTTATTGAAAGGAGAGGAAAATGTCGTGCTTGTCCATATATTTATTTGAGTACTTTCGACATAGCATAATGTCATCATCAGAGTATTGTTAATTATAGGGTAAGTATTATAGTGTTCATGGTTGTAAAAGACAAAAATTGTTGTGATCATCTGAAAATTAACTTTCTTATATGTGGAGTCAGGAACGCTGTGTCATGGCGTGGCTAACAGGTATTGTTTAAGGGGAGATAATTATGTATGTGGAAAGATTTTTCAGACATGAGTGGTCGAAAAAATAAAGGAAAGAACTATTAGTACGGACATTAAAAAGTATTTACTGTACACATTTTAAAATATTTGTGGAATATTCATAATTAGTTTTATTAGGGTTTGGTTTCAATTTTTTATATAAATTGCTTCATGAATATTTAGTTTGTGTTTATTCTTTTCGTAGAAAAGTATGGAGATATTTTCGACGAGGAATTCCCTGAATTGTGAATGCGGATAGGTGTGTTGTGGTAAATGTTTAGAAATATTGAACGTGTTCGTTTACTATCATTTTGGTGTTAAATAATAAATTAGGAACAGACTGAATAAAAAAAAAATGTTGAAAGTGGAATATACTATTATCGTACAATATGATACTGGTATTAGCAGTATTGTGTGATTTTCGATGAAGTATAAGTAAATGGCCATTAGTACACCAAGCTGTTTGTAACTGTTTAGATATAGGAAATGAAGAGGAAGAAGAAGAATCTGTATTCGTAACAGATCATGCAATGAAACGTAGACAAAACAATGGTTTCCATTTTAGGGGACGCGTGTAGTAAAAATATGATATAGAATAGGTTTTGTAATTTCGTTTATTTTGAATTTCTAAGGATACAGTAACAAAATTTCCAATAACATCATCTTTATGAAGTCAATAAGCAGTCATCTTATACTACAAATATAAGATAAATTCATGAAGATTTTCTATAATCTTTTGACATCCTCTTATGTAAAGGTCACCTTATACAAGTTAGTATACGATATATATATATATATATATATATATATATATATATATATATATATATATATATATACCGAAGAAGTTTTCGAGTAACGTGTTT